TAAAATTTAATGATGATTTGGCCCTTTTCTTCATGTAACATATATTTTATCGGTTTCATTGATGTATTGGATGTATTTTATGTTCCAAAAAAATACACAATACATCAGGATATCAAGTTTTATGCTACACATAACATTATATAACTCAACATATCTATCTCATCATCTCATTTAATGACTAGGCGTCCGGGTCAACAATGAAACCTGTAAAATGTATGTTACATAGAGAAAAGGGCAAAATTATCAGTAAATTTTATTTTGGGACTTGTTCGCAAATTAGGGTAAAATAATTGGACTTTAGTGAAACAGGTAAGTAATAAAACCGGTAAACCGGAAAAAAGTGGTCAAATCGCCATTTTTACCGGTAATTCATGCATTTTCATAAACAAAATTTAGTTTGGGACTTTTTCGTAAATTATGGTAAAATTTTAGGACTTTTCTGGAGATTTCCCTTATATTTTTTGTGAATTACAATGGCCATTTATGTAATTTTTGTATAGAAACAAGGGTAAATTACACCATTAGTCCCTCGTGCATGTGCCCAAAAGCACGTTTGGTCCCTATTTTCAAAAATTAACTCGGACCGTCCCTAGATTTATTTTTTCTTACACGCTTAGTCCCTCCAGACATAAAAAGACTATTTTACCCTTAACAATTTCTTTTTTAATTTTCTTTTATTCCTTTATTATTTTTACAGTAAAAAGAACAAAAGAAAAAAAAACGTATCTTCACACCCCCCCTTTTCTTTCCCCCGTACTCGTTTCCCCCTTTTCCTCTCTAACTATCGACGGACTGCAACCATCAAGCCGCCGACAACCATGAAGCAGCCACTGACGAAATCTACTCATCCACCGTATTCTCTCTTCTTGTCACACCCCCGAACCTGGACAGCGGAAACGTCCGGGGGCGGATGACTTCGTGTACAGTATCATAACAATTGAATATAAATGAAGCATAACAACCAAACATCATACATTAGAAATACACACTTACATAGTTTACATATTAAACTTGTTCATCAGTTACACAAAAGTAAGAAAGTAAAATTTCTTGAAGTTGCACCACTTGATCTCCTAGTCGAAATTACTATCTGTTACTGGATCCCTGAGAATACAAGTCGTTTTGAAAAGCATCAACTAAAAAGTTGGTGAGTTCATAAGCAGTTTTGAATAAAAATGGTTTTTGTACTATTTTAGAATTGTTTCCAAAGTGCTTTCAAAAAAATCCGATATTTTCTAAACAGATGGTTTGAAATATTTGTGTCCGATCTTATATTAATGCATGTGTGTTAATGGCTACAAAAATAGAAAGCGAATGACTTCCAGACAACCCGATGTTGTCTGCGATAGATGATGCTGGAGTCTCAACCCCCGTGGTTGAGTACCAGTGCGTATAGATTACCGTTTTATCAAGAAGAAGGTTTCCCGTTTTATCCAAAAAGAAAATAGAATGGTTTCCCGTTTTATCCAAAAAAGAAAATAGAAGGGTTTCCCGTAAATCTTATAACGTTAATTCCTCTAAGTGAGCCGTTATAACCATACTAAATAATGACAATTTCGCCTGTCTTGACATCTTTGGGACGCCGACGGAACAAGGTACGGTTTGTCACCCTAGACTGGCCTAGTCTAACTGTAGCGAACAGCTCAGGTGTGGGGTGTCACCCCCGTATAGATCTATACACAAACTCTTGCTCTCTCTCCAGGAGACTCTGGCTATAACTACAGGCTACGACCATACACTCAATGGTGTCAACCGACAGGTCTCACTAGATCCTTAATCGAAATTTACACGGAAAAAGAAAGAAGAGCATATAAGGTATATTCCAGGCCCAATAAACATGTAAGTGGACAGCTAAGGCCTACTCAACATGTATATTATTTCCAGGCACAAAAGGAATATGAATGTATATCCCGGGTCCAATATACAAGTAAAAGGACAACTAAGGCCCACTAAACTTGTATATTATTTCCAAACCCAATAAGGATATGAAGGTATATCCCGGGCCCAATATACATGTAAAAGGACAACTAAGGTCTACTAAACATGTATATTATTTCCAGGCCAATAAGGATTTGAATATCGTTTTTAACCCGTTCGTTATTGTTTTGTTTATTTTAACTCGATTATTTACAAAATTGATATAAAAAGCCCACTTTTTGTAAAAATGACGTTCTTGGCCCAATAAGCCACAAATTTTCAATTAAGGCCCAATTATAGTAAAAATAACACTTTAGTCCCCATTTTGTTCAAAACTTGTGTTTATGACTAGGTTGTGGTAAAAATAACATTTTAAACCCATTTTGGTCAAAAATATCATTTTTGGCTTATTTTTGTGAAATACACATTTTTCTGGTTTTTGGCTTTTCTGACCTAGTTGTTGAAAAATTTGTAGAAAAATCATCGTAAGTCGAAATTTGGATCCGTAAACTCTGGAAGTTTGGAAATTTTGTCTTATTTGTTCATAATGTTTCTCATAATTTTTAATGGTCTCTAACAAGTGTGAAATTGCTCACCTTCATAGACTGGTCCGAAATTATTTCAAATATGATAGGCAGTTTTGTAAAATTCGTCAAAAATTGTAGAAAAATTGTATGAAAACGTGAGAGTAGTCATTTTAAAGGTATAAACCTGAACATTTTGCATGTAAAACAGTTTTGAAAAATATTACCATTAAGGAGGTCAAAACAGTTCGAGATTGGACTAAAACTTTTCTGTCAAGGGCAGATTTTTGAGTTTAAGTTATCTAAGTTTGTTCACAACACTTGTTTTTGTTATTTTAAGTGGATAAATCCCAGATCTACAAGTTTACATGTTTTATATGTGATAAAACATACTTTTCTAAAGGTTTTTATGAAGATCCAAGTGATAAACTTCATTTTCAAGTAAAGATCTAAAAGTTAAACACATAAACATGCACATATACATAGATCTAACACAAAAGCAATTGTATCCTCCCCTAAAAACATTATAAAACCGAAAACAAGGGGGTATGAAGCTCACCTTGGGGTTTTCTAGATGTAGATGAAGAAGATGAAGTAGTTTTGAATCCTAGCTTGAGTTCTTTGAGAGATCTTGAAATGGTGGTGGATCTAAGCTCCATATTCACGAAAATGGAGTTGTAAGAAGAAAGTTCTTTGCATAGACTTGAAATAGAACATCTAGGGATGAATATGGACTTACCAAGAAGCTTAAAAATCAACCTTTGATGATGAAGAATTCGAAGTTGCTTGAGAGGATAAAGAGGAAAATGCCTGAGAGGATAAGGAGGATGTTTCTTGAGAGTTTAGTGAGGAAAGTGAGATTTGTGAAGTGTGTGTGTGTATGTATAGGCCGAGAGATAGGAGAAAGAGAGGGGAGAGTGTAGGAGTTGACTTCTAAAAGGTGATGTGAATGCCATGTTTATTTGTTGGGCAATAAGCTTAGATGCATGAAGTGTAATGGTGAGGTGTCACATGCATAAAACACTATTTTCTTTCTCTTTTTTTATTATTATTATATATAGGTGGGCTAACCGACCCAATAGGGGTCCTTGGCCCAAGAGGTGGCCTAATAAGGGTTCTTGACCCATTAAGGTTTAATAATTGGTTTTTAGGTTCAAAGGCAACAAAAATATAAATTTTCGGCCCATTAGAGCCCAAGAGGGGTTTTCGGCCCAATAAGGTTCAAGAAGGTTGTTTATGGCCCAATAAGGGTTTTAGCTTGAGAATTTATGGATTAAGGCCCAAAAATGATTGGGTTTGGCTTATTGGATCGAGTTTTGGGTTTGAATCACAATATGTGAAAGTATGAACTAAAATGGCATTGGAGTTTCGCATTTCGCTAGATGAGATTTTTGTAAGTTTACATGAAGGAATCATCTTGTACACGGATTAAGATCTATCCCTAATTTGCTAGTTCTGACACTTCTGCAACCCAACCGACGACCACACTTATCTTCCATTTCTTTCTGTGCATCTCACGAACTCTATCTCAGCCACCATAGGAGCAAGGCAATCATCAGAGCAACCATCGCTCATTGTCTGTACACCACCCTTCAATTGCACTCCTGCCAACACCCTTCATCTGCGTCATCATCCTCATCGAACAGAAAAAGAAGAACGAATCTGCTATTTTCCGCCTCCACCTCCGTTCGAAACCCTAGTTGCACCTCTATTTTAGTTTGAAACCCTAGATTCGGTGGTACTAGAGGGTTTTGTGCCAAATCAAACTCATTACAAAGTTTCAAGTTAGAGGAAATCGAGTATGTCACCCGATACATTTCCGATGCGAGATGTGAATTTGTTGGGGAGGAGAAATTTTCTTCAGTTTACAAAGGGGTTTTGAGAGATAGATCGGTTGTGTCGGTGAAGTGTTTAGAGGTGGATGCTTTTTAGTGTATGATTTTGCATCAAAAGAGAATTGTTGAAGGAAGATCCATATTTGGTTTCTGGGTGGTGGTTCCGGTAAGTTTTAAAATGGGTGTTGGTTGTGGTTTACGACGGTGAACAAAGGCGCGGCAAGAGTGTTCCGATTGTGGTGTATGTCGACAAAGGAGGAGGTAGGAAGTTGGTGGTGGGTTTTAAGATGGTTTAAGGTGTTTGATTGAGGAAGAAAGGTGGAATAAGGGTGGAACTAGGAAGGTGGCGATGGAATAATGGTGTTTGAGAGATGCAGGTGGTGTGCTCGATTTGATAGCGGTTGCCCTATTTTTCCTTTTATTTTTGAATTAAGAATAATAATTATAACATTAAATTAAATGGAAAATGAAAATAAAAGGGCATAATAGTCATTTTATGTCTCGTAAGGGATGAAGCGTGCAAATTTAAACTAACAAGGGATGAAGTGTGCAACTTTTAACCAAACGAAAGACGGTCCGAGTTAATTTTTGAAAATAGGGACCAAACGTGCTTTAGGGCACATGCACGAGAGACTAATGGTCTAATTTACCCTAGAAACGACGTCGTTAGAACGCAATCTACAACTTGGTATAGAAAGACTAGAAAGCCCTTTGCAGGCGAGGGCCTAGTGGCTTCCTCTTTAAACCCTTCCCATCGTTCTCTTTCATATCGGTAAAACCCTAGCCTCCCTGCTTCCTCCCTCTCAAAGAAACAGGCTTTCAATCCGCCGAAAAAATGGTATTCTTTTGCTTGAATCCCTTTTCCCTTTTGAATTTTATGTTTTTGTAGCAGTCTTCTATATATCAAATGATCGAAGTTCGTATCTGGTTCTTGAAATATTTTGATTTCTTTTTGCAGACCGGAGAAGCTGTGAATCCAAAAGCATACCCACTAGCTGACAGTCAGCTTACAATTACGATATTGGATCTTGTTCAACAAGCCGCTAATTATAAGCAGCTTAAAAAGGGTGCCAATGAAGGTATACTCTTTAACCCTTGTAAATCTTAGTTCTTTCGATCATTATATGAAGGATTGGGTATTGTTTGGTGATTATAGCGATATAATCCAATCGTTTGAATGTTTTTCTTTGAGCTTTAGGAGAATTACTTAGTATTGTGATTTTGGATTTGTAAATTATCCCAAATTTACAAGTCCTAAGAGCACCTGTATCTTTTGTTTTCTTCAAAAAAGCTCTTTGCAAATGGTTAAACACTCAAAACACGACTTGATTTTCTTAATATTCCAAATGGGTATTTTTGGATGTTGGTTGTGTGCTAATTTACGTTTTTATCCCTTGATTCACAGCTACAAAGACCCTCAACAGGGGTATATCTGAGTTTGTAGTGATGGCAGCAGATGCCGAGCCTCTTGAAATTATTCTCCATCTTCCCCTTCTTGCTGAAGACAAGGTATTCAACAATTAGCACAATTATAAATCTACAAATTATTCATTAAGATTTTGATATTTTTTTCAATGAAAATTTCTTAATTTTATAAACATATTTGGCAATTTGCAGAATGTTCCATATGTTTTTGTTCATTCAAAGGAAGCCTTAGGTCGAGCATGTGGAGTTACAAGGGCTGTGATTGCATGTTCAGTGACAAGTAATGAAGGCAGCCAATTGAGATCTCAAATACAACAACTCAAGGTTAGAAACGTCTTTTTGCAAGACACGTATTACTTAATATTAGATAAGCGACACTTTAGGGTTCTAAAATGGTTTTTGTTTTGACTTTTGATTTTGCAGGATGCGATTGAGAAGCTTTTGATTTAAACAGGAAATATGGAAATTCGGTGTGATGGGCCTTTGTGGATTTGAGTTTTGACTCCATTGTTAGAGGCTTTGATCTTTCTTTTTCCTATAAATTTTATCAATTAATGTACTGAATTTTTTGTTTTTTGTTTTCAATCTTGATGCATTTTTGCAACCATGAACACTATGATTTCTAGTTTTGTGTAACAGTGAAGTTTTATATGCAACTTTTCTTTGTCCTTAGACTAATTGATGATATTAATGGATTTGAAAAGGTCTATATGATGTTCAAATGCAAGTATTACTAACAATATTTGTTATTGCTTTTGTAGTTTTATAATGGCCCTTAGACTAGTTGATGATATTTTGCTATTTTATTATATTTCTATTATAAAAATTGTCAGTAAAATATTTTACTACCGATTAACATTTTTATTTTGTTCTTTTTAGTCAGTAAATTATATTTCTAATTGTTCCCAACATGGCTACAAACGACCTTTTTGAGACCAATGAGTTCGTTTTTTTACTTGAAATATCCCGTTTCTTACAATACCTTGACTCCACCTAGGCAGGTGATATGGAACAAATTGCAACGTCATTTTGTTCAATTCAACCAAAAGAGAATATAACAAGCTATCATCAAAGAGGGATGCATAGATTAAAGATATGGAAAAGGACATGGCATTTTCTATGGAATTTGAGCTTAGGCTATGTTAGGTGAATTATGTGTTAACTGAAGCCCTTTTTCTAATGAGAATTCAATACCTTTCTAATGAGATGTCTCCACTCACTTAATTAAAGGTGAAGGTGCGCCAGAATCAAAGAACCTAACAAATGTAGGCGGAATACACTCATGATCTGCTTCAGCTGCTAACTTATAAGCTTGTTGATAAAAAAATAATGTTTGGTAAAAGTAGTTGATACACTAATTAATAAACAATACAGTTGGTGAAGTTAGTTGAGAAACTACTGGAAGATATAAAATGTCATAAAAAGACATTTAAAAAATTCGAAAAATAAGCTAGTTTATCAGTTAGTAAGGTACACCAAACATAGTCTTAGTGAATAATATACTTATTGTAATCATTGTGATGGCAACAGTGGTCAAATTGTGGTTTTAGTGAGTTATTTGTAACTACCGGTTTAAAGTAATTTTGACCATCTTTTGATGAGTGTTATATGTAATATTAATGTAATATTGGCCATATTTTGTAGATGTTTGGAGGAAACTGAATTGATGTAATTATAACGTAATATTTGGTCATAGTTTGTTACTGTTTATATCGTTATATTTTTCGTATTCTACTTTTAGTCTAAATGCAAAATACATGTAACTTCTGTCCTTTGAGCATCTAGGCTTCAAAGGAAAAATTTATGGGTAATCATTTTATCAGAATGAACATGTATGATGTTATAAACAGGTTAATAACTGTTAGTGTTATATAATTTTGTCAAAGTTTCTTATCCCACATAAAAAGGAACCTCAAACTTTGGAATGTTTTAAAGGCTTGCTCTCTTAGTTCTACTACAATTGATTAAGAGCTTATGGTGAGCTAGTGTGGAGTTGTGGGCTTTGAATTACTAGTGGACTACTAGTAATTTAATTATATATTAAATGGTCAAAAAATGGCATTGGGAAGTTATCAAAATTGAATTTTGACAGTTTCATGTCGATCCTATTTAAACAAGTTAAATCTGATTTGTCGGGCCTCTTGAAAATATACATATGTTTTCCTCTCTAAAATAATTCCATGAACGCATACTATAGATTCGCCAGAAATCAAGTTCTAGTGCAAGAACTTGATTGAAGATAGTTGTATCCTCTATTTAGACGTCTAGATACTATTGCACTAATTGGGACGAATTTCTGTTTTAGGACATTGCTTTGCAAGCCTCTATCCTGTTTTCAATCTGTAATTTTCATCTGTAAGTTTACTGTTTATGTTTATTGATAGTGTTTCCATTTGAATTTTGTAATATATATTCATATTTATACTGTTGTATTACACAAGTTATAACAATAACATTCTACTTTAAAGTGAAAAAAATACCCTTAGTCGTTTTTATCATAACATTCTACTTTCATTTCCATGTTTAGCCTTTACAACAATTTGGCTTCCACATAGATAGTTGGATCAAAGATTACAAATGGGTCGAAAGACTACAAAAAGCTGTCAAAATATATTTTACTTTCATTTTACAGTAGTTACTTCTGTAAATTACTTTCATTTTATGGCATTTTACTTTCAGTTTAAATCCTAAAATTCCAGCATTCATTTTATAACATTGGAAAACATAGGAGATTTCAAAATTTCAATAATTGGAACTTCATAAAAATAAATCTTATTTTGTATGAATTAATATGGATAGAAGGGAGTTACATTTTCCATTAAGTAGTATGGTTTAAGGACAGAGATTTTATGCGATTCACTTGGGGAATATGAAGAGAGAAAACAAGGTTTTGTTAGTTATCTAGCTTTCGAAGCTTGGTTTTATATTATCCAGTAAGATATTAAATAGATGGTGTGGACGTTCCGGAGTGGTTATCTGGCATGACTAGAAATCATGTGGGCTTTGCCCGCGCAGGTTCTAATCCTGCCGTCCACGATAATTTGGTTTTTTAAAACCATCTCAAAAGTCAAATCCGTCCGTAGTCTTAATTAATAATACTAGTATTTTAATATCTAAGATTCATGCGACAAAATAATATCAAATTATAATCTTGTTAGGTTTCTTAATGAGAAAACTGCAATAAAGTCCCTGCATATTGGCCTCATAATCGATTTAGTCTCTATATTATTTTTTTATTCAATTAAGTCCCAAATTCCGGTAATCGTATTCAATTTAATTCTTTGACCCGGTCAGCAGGTTATCCAACTTTTAAAAATTACATTTTTGGCCCATATTTCAAAATTTATTACAAATTTGGTCCAAAATTTACACTTTTGACCCAGATTTTAAATTTTGTTATAAATTTGGTCCAAACTTTATCTTTTTGCCCAAATCTTAGAATTTTATTATGAATTCATCCTAATTTTAGTTTTTTTTACAACTTTTTTTCTCAAATGATTGTTTCTAATATGTAGGGACTTTATTGCAGTCTTGATTTATTTATTTTTTATTAAAAGACCAAAATTACCCTTCCTATATATAAATTCCATTATATTTTCTTTTTATTTATTTATTTTTTGTTTTAAAACTATCTCAAATCCACAGTCTTGATTTTCATATCTAAGATTCATGCGACAAAATAATATGAAATTCCAATCTTGTTAGGTTTCTTGAAATTACATTTTATTTTCATTTTTTTTATTAAAAGATTAAAATTACGCTTGCTATATATAAATTAGTTCCGTTCGATTTTCTTTCAATCAAATCAATGCAATCAAATGCCTTGAAATTCCAAACGTACTCTAAGAATTTTAATTTAATCATCTTCCAATATCAAAACAAAGAAAAAACAATATCTCTATAAAAACTTCACTTCCTCAATAACATCATCATTCACCTTTAAAGATTTAATCCCCACCCCCAAAACCCCAGCCATCCAATAAATCTCAACCGTTTGTGGATGTGACATATCATCCGATGAAAACATATGATCCGACCCGAGCTCCCCCACATCAGCCCAACTCAACCCCACAAGTTTCTTCACATTCAAATCTCTCATCCCTTTCCTAATCCTTGCCACCTCACCCCACTCCCCTTTCTCCGCATACAAATTCGACATCAAAACATACGAACCACTTTCCTTAGGCTCCATCCTCAACAAATCCTCCCCCACCCTCTTCCCCCTCTCCATATCCCCATACACTTTACAACTCCCCAACAAACTCTGCAACACCGGAATCCCAATTCCCCCCGGAATCCGCCCCATCAACTCCTCCGCCGCCTCCAACCGCCCCGCCCGCCCATACATATCCACCATACACGAATAATGCTCCGTGCTCGGCTCAATTCCATACACTTCAACCATCGACTTAAAAACCTCGTTTCCCTTCTCCACCATTCCATTCCGCCCACACGAGGTTAACACCGATAAAAAAGTAATGGAATCGGGATCGAACGATTGGTTTAACATCTCTTGATACAATTCCATCACGGAATCGTAATTCCCGTGTCGGGAATGAGCGGAAATGATCGCGGTCCATGCCACTTGATTCTTGTTGGTGATTTCACGAAAGACTTTACAAGATTCGTGTATGCTTCCGCGTTTTGCATACATGTCTAAAAGAGCTCCTAATACGATTGAGTTTTTGTTGTATCCGAGTTTTGTTAAGTGACAATGGGAGCATTGACCGGATTTCAATGGGATTGACTCTGAAGACGCGATTGCACTTAAGACACTACCGAATGTGTATTCATTAGGGTTTGAATCCATTGAGTGGAATGTGGTTAATGCTTGTTGGAATAACTTGTTGAAAGTGAAACCGGAGATTAATGCGTTCCATGAAATGGTGACTTTGTGTTTGATTTCTTTGAAGATGTTGATGGAGGATTGTATGGAGTTGAAAGTCGCGTACATTGTGATGAAACTATTGGCTATGATTGTTTCGGAGATGAAGCTTGATTTTATGGATAACGCGTGGATGGTTTGACCTTGTTTGACCATGGTGGATGAACATATGGCGTGTATTAAGCTAACGAATGTGACCTCGTTTGGATACACGTTATCCATTCTCATGTTGTTGAATAAAGATAGAGCTTTTTCTTCACTTATGGAGATTATTGTTGTCCAAGAAACAACGTTGCGAATTTTCATGCTTTCGAATACTAATTTTGCATCTTGGATTTGGTTGCATTTTGAGTATGTGGAGATCAGAACATTGGAGACTGATTCGTGAGTTTCGTATCCGGTTTTGATGGTTAAAGAATGTATTTGTTTTCCAAGATTTAAGTTTCTTGCATGTCCGGAAGCTGAAACTGCACTTGTGAATGAAACATGATCAAGATTCATCATTGATCTGATCATGTGGATGAAAACCGTGATTGCTTGTTCTCCGTAGCTTCCTTCTTGGCTATAACCTGAAAGCATGGCGTTCCATGAGACTAAATCTTTCATTGGCATTTCATCGAACACCTTCTCTGCGTCCACTATTCGTTCCCATTTTGAGTAGAGGGTTATAAGTGCATTTGCGATGAAACCTTCACTTTGCATTCCGGTTTTTAGAACAAGAGAGTGTAACTGAATTCCGAAGAGAAATTCTTCACAATCTGCGCAGTGTGCTAATGCAGAAGTGAACGTCACTGCATCGAATGTAACCCCTATATGATTCATTCGACAAGCAAAACTCAGTGCTTCGTTATTGTTCTTAAACCCTGAGAGTAAGGTGTTCCATGAAACGATGTCTGGGTTGGTCAATTTCTCGAAAATAGTCATAGCATGGTCGATTTGTCCGGCTTTGGAGTACATGTTCATCAAAGAATTGGAGACGGATAAAAACGAATCAAGCCCAGACGTGAATGCAAATCCATGGATTTGACACCCAAGTTTTGGGTCTCCACGACATGCCTTGGTAGCAAGAGCAGTGGAAACTTCATCGACATGAGTAACACCCACTTCCCGAATCTGTTTCTTGAAGATTTCAAGAGCTTGAAAAGAGCGGTTTTGGTGCAAAAGATCAAGCATGGAGTGGTGGAGATATTCGAGGTTTGGTTGAGGAATTTGAACGAACAGTTGGTGCCCATCTTGAAAAGAACGGAAGTTTACTACACTTTTAGCGGGGATGCATTTGGAAATCAGTTGGCGTGCAATCATCAAAGTAGTTCAATCAAATAACAATGGAATATTTGTTGAAATGAGAAACATATAACTCATCTAAAAGACCTCCTTGATGTTTCAAGAAAGAACTTTTAATATCCAATCATCATCCGCTTACTAGACTTGATGAGATGGGAAGCAAAAGAAGCAACTAAATTTGGTACGATCGTTGAGGGTCGGATGGTCGCAATGGTCCAATCAATTTCGGGACTGGCTGTTGAAAATTGAAATATAAAAATGTAGGGTTTTCAATTACTACAGTAGTATCCTACTAAAATTACTCCGATCTATACCCTAATGAATTTTATAGTGTGCTGCTATTTAGGCATGTGGGAAGAGGGTGGGAGTGGGTGCGGCTTGGGCTATGGTTTGCCACCTTAGCCATGACATTGTCTGCAGTTTAGGGTGTGACTAAGAGTCTAAGCTGAGCTTCGTACCATCGAGTCATTTCTTCTCTCAATCAAGATCAATCTTTTAATCAGATATCAATCTCTCGGACTAATCAATCTTTTTAATATCAATCAATTACTCATTAATATTTAATCATTTAAATCATGTAATGTATATCACAGATAACACATCAATGAATGTTAGAGTAGTGTTACTTACCTCGTTAATTATCAGACTAATTCCAGTTTCGGTTTCAATCATTTGTTGTCTATCAACTCACCATATGGTAGCACCTCACTGTATCCCGTGTCATCCTTACAACAATATATTTTCGCCGTAGTAATCTCCCGCAAACGACTCCCAAGCAACATCTCCGGTCTCGCGTGTCAAAACTCCCTCAAATGACTCGAGACTCATATATTTATATTGGGTATGGTCACGTCGTGACCATCTATGTGTCAAGTCGTGACAATCAAAAGAACTCATGTTTCACCACGTGTTACACTCTCCCGCCAAGTGTCCTTGTGACTTGCCTCATTTCACGTCGTGACACATTTATTGTCACGTCGTGATGACTGAATGGATTTCGTCTCGCCACGTGTCAGTCTCTGGTTGACACGTGTAATCATGACTTACTCATTCTCACGTCGTGAGCAACTTACCTTCACATCGTGATGGTCAAAAGTTGACCGTTGACTTTGACTTCGTTGACTTTCTCAAAATAGCAACGTACTTCGATCTAAACTTCAAATGACCATAAAATTCTCATACGAACTCCGTTTTCGATGATCTTTATATCTACGCGTTCATCTTTTAAAGATCTATCACTTTCTCAACTCCATTTTGCTAAATACAAATATCCAATTTAAAGTGACTCCAAGCTGTATTTCACCTACTCGCCTCATATCATTTTATATATTCCGAAATGATACCTGGTCATGAAAGACATGTATTACATTAAATACTTAAACATGAATTTCCATAAAATATACAACTTTAAAAATCTATAAAAAGGAATACTTGATCTTTGATGGTTAGAGAAATTCTTAGTTGTACAAATATTTATAGATAATTGAAAAAACACTTGGAATATTAAACAATTAAACATGAATTTCCATAAAATATACAAATTTAAAAATCTATAAAAATGAATACTTGATCTTTGATGGTGAGAGAAATTCATTATTATACAAATATCTATAGATAAATAAAAAGAAACCACTTGGAATATTAAATACTTAAACATGAATTTCCATAAAATATACAACTTTAAAAAACTAAAATATCGACCATTTCTAAATCCAGCAGAACTACCAAAATATTAAAATACCAAATCAGAAATAACCAATAATATAATACATAATTAAAAGTTCATGTGCCTAATGATCTGTAGGGTAAAAAAATTAAAGTAAAATATTATAATTCACGTTAAAATGAAAGTTAAATGACGTGAACGATAATAAAATAAAATTATAATGATATAATTCACATTAAAATAAGAAAATGCTATAGTTGACATTAAAATGTTATAATCGTCATGAAAATGAAAGCTAAACTCTAGACAAAACTGTAAAAATGGTGCATGTGGTTTCTCATTTTATGTGGTTACGGTCCAAACGTTTGAAAAGTTGCAGATTTGGTCCTTTTCAACAAGTTTTGTTGTGGTTTTGGTCCATCATCCGTTAAGTTTAACTGGTTGGCTGTTAACTTCTTTAAAATGACAATTTTACCCCCAGGGACCATTTTCGCAGTTTTGTCTTTTACCATACTATAAGGACCATTTTTGCATACATTCTTTTTTACTTATTGAAGTATTATATATTAATAGATATTATTTTTAATATATAATATTATATATTAATAAATAATGTTTTATTGGATTATTAATTTATTTTAGTTGATTTTTAATTTTTTTTATTGGAGCAATTCTTTTTTATTGAATTATTATATATCAATACATATAGGTTTTAATATATACTATTTATATCATAATAAATATTATATAATTGAATTATTAATTTTTTTAGTTAATTTTTGTAATTCCTTTTTTTAATTATTTTTTTATTGGATTATTACTTTTAATTTATTATTTTCTTCATATACTAAATATTGTTTTATTGAATTATTAATTTATTTAATTAATTCTATTTTTTTAATTTTTTTTGTCGAAGTAATTTTTTTTATTAAAATATTATATATTGGTACATATAGTTTCTAATATATAATAGTTATATCATAATAAATATTATATTATGGGATTATTATATATTACAAAACATTATTTTATTGGATTATAAATTTCTTTTAGTTGATGCTTTTTATAATTTCTTTTTTGTTGGAGCAATTCTTTTTTATTAGATTATTATATACCAATAAATATTATTTTTAATATATAATATTTATATCATAATAAATAATACATTATTGGATTATTAATTTTTGTAATTTCTTTTTTGTTTTTTTGAAATATTAATTTTTTGAATTATTACTTTTAATTTATTATTTTTTTAATATAACAAATATTATCTTATTGGATTATTATTTTATTTTTAATGTATACTATTAATTCTTTTTAATTTTATTAGTTTCACCACAAAGTCGCTGAAATACGTAAAAGTGTCGCTTATCATCGTCAAAATTTGGCAGGATCACCTCCAAAACTCTTCTTCGGAGGTTCAATAGATACCCTACCCTGTTCCATCCAGCGTTGTTGGTAGCTACCTGCGACAACCTCTTCATAATCCACTGGAATCCTTCATATCTGTTGGAACCTGAAAGTGAACCTCTAGCAATCTCTAACTTCTGTTGTTCCGAAGTCAGACTTATGTCCGAAATGGTTAGGGTACAAAATGGTAGTTGAAGTCCGGAGTGGGTTTCGTGCTACGGAGATGAAGAGATGTTCCGAGATAGTGTATCCGTCTGTGCATTAATTATTCTTGCCAGACTTGACTGGAACACTTAATCAGAAGCAGACATTGATCTTACGCATTAACTCAAGGTTTGAGTTTTCGAACCTTGTCCCTGCGCATCGTATCTTTGTTCTCAAAATATCCCGCATAATGCGCAACAAAACCCTATAACAATTATAATTGGTGGTGGTGACCGAGTGATGGTGGCAGTATTTTCCCTATGGTTTCTCATTATAAGCTACATGAAATATAAGTGTTTTGGCAGTGATCCTAACGATTTCGATGATGAGAGACGACGATTTTACGTATCTCACTACTTTGTGGTGGAACCAATAAAATTAACAAGAACTATTATTATAAATTAATAATCCAAAAAAAAAAATATTTAGTATATGAAGAAAATAATAAATTAAAAGTAATAATCCAATAAAAAATAGTTTAAAAATAAGAAATTACAAAAATTAACTAAAAGAAAATAATAATCCAATAATATAATATTTATTATGATATAAATACTATATATCAAAAACTATATGTATTGATATATAATAATTCAATAAAAAAGAATTAATTCGACAAAGTTTTTTTTTAAAAAGAATTAACTAAAATAAATTAATAATCCAATAAAAAATATTTAGTATATAAAGAAAATAATAAATTAAAAGTAATATCCCAATAAAAAATAATTTAAAAAAAAAAGAATTAAAAATATTAACTAAAAAAAATAATAAACCAATAATATAATATCTATTATGATATAAATATTATATATTAAAAATTATATGTATTGATATATAATAAATCAACTAAAATAAATTAATAATCCAATAAAACAATATTTATTAATATATAATATTATATATTAAAAATAATACTTATTAATATATAATACTTTAATAAAATAAAAAAGAATGTATGCAAAAATGGTCCTTATAGTATGGTAAAAGACAAAACTGCGAAAATGGTCCTTGGGGGTAAAATTGTCAATTTAAAAAAGTTAACAGACAACGAGTTAAACTTAACGGATGATGGACCAAAACCACAATAAAATTTGTTGAAAAGGACCAAATCTGCAACTTTTCAAACGTTTGGACCATAACCACATAAAATAAGAAACCATAGGGACCATTTTTACAGTTTTGTCTAAACTCTATAACTGAAAAAATGAAACTAAAATGTTATAATCGACATTAACATGAAAGTTAAATGTTATGATAGAAAAGAAAAAAAACAATGAAAATAAACCGCAATAATCAACATTAAAATGAAAGTTGAACGCTATAATTGAAAAAAAATCAAAAGTAAACTATTATAATCGACATAATATGGAAGTTGAATGCTATAATTCAAAAAAATGAAAGTAAAATGTTGTAATTGACTTTAAAATGAAAGTAAAATGCTATAATTGAACAAATGAAAGTAAAATGCTATAATCGACATGAAACTGAAATTTGAATGCTATAATTAAAAAAAACAAAAGTAGAATGCTATAATCGACATGAAATTGAAAGTTAATGCTATAATTGGAAAAAATGAAAGTAAATTGTTATAGTTAACATTAAGATGAAAGCTAAATGCTATAATAAGAAAAATGAAAGTAAAATGCTATAATCTATAATAACATGAAAGTTGAAAAATATGACTGATAAATAAAAATAAAATGTTATAATCAACATTAACATGAATGTTGGATGCAATAATTGACGGAATGAAAGAAAAGTGCAAAATCGACATCACACTGAAAGTTGAATGCTATAGTTGAGAAAAAGAAATGAAACTAAAACACTATCTAAGATATTCTAATTTCACCAATTGTCACACCTCTTATCGATTTAGATATAATTTTGAGCCTATTATCGATCAAGATGTGTTATTTTAACTAGCCAAACGCCATGAATGTTTAATGGTTCGAAAGCTACTTCTTAATTGAATTGTTAAGAGGTGAAACAAACGAACCCTTAATTTCATAAAAAGCTTTTTAATGGTCAATGATTAGAGATGATTTAAACTAATAACTTTTTGTTTGATAATGTTAGTGTAACTAAGTGGTCGCAAAACTAAAATGTTATAGAAAAGATTAATGCTCGGAGATGCTCTTATTAAACTATCTCAAATCTTTAAACAATTTCATACCTAATAAATCTTCCTCAAACTAAAAAAACACCAAATTCCCTCTACAATAACATAAAACTTTCAATTCAATCATTTTTTAAAAACCAAAAAACCTATATATAAAAACTCAACTTTCTCCATAACATCATCCCTTTAAAAATCTAATTTCCACCCCTAAAACCCCCACCATCCAATAAATCTCCACCATTCGTGGATGCGACATATCATTGGATGAAAACACATGAGTCGATGCATATCCACCCACATCACACACATCTACCCAACTCAACCCAACAACTTTCTTCACATTCCTCTCTTTCATTGATTTCCTAATCCTTGCCACCTCATCCCACTCCCCATTCTCCGCATACAAATTCATTTCTTTCCGTCTCCAATTCTTTGATGCACATGTACTCCAAAGCCGGACAAATCGATCGTGCTATCGTTATTTTCGAGAAATTGATCAACCCAGACATCGTTTCATGGAACACCTTACTCTCAGGGATTAACAACAGTAACGATGCTCTGAGTTTTGCTTGTCGAATGAATCATATAGGGGTTACGTTCGATGCAGTAACTTACACTTCTGCACTGACACATTGTGCAGATTGTGAAGAATTTCTCTTCGGAATTCAGTTACACTCTCTTGTTCTGAAAACCGGAATGCAAAGTGAAGGTTTCATCGCAAACGCAGAAAAGGTGTTCGATGAAATGCCAATGAAAGATTTAGTCTCATGGAACGCCATGCTTTCAGGTTATAGCCAAGAAGGAAGCTACGGAGAACAAGCATTCACAGGGCGGTTGGAGGCGGACGAGGGGTTGATGCGGCGGATTCCGAGCAGGGTTGGGAATGGAATTGGGATTCCGGTGTTGCAGAGAATGGGGAGTGGGATGAGGTGCAAAACACCCATTTCCCGAATCTGTTTCTTGAAGATTTCAAGAGCTTGAAATGCGCGGTTTTGGTGCAAAAGATCAAGCATGGAGTGGTGGAGATAGTCGAGGTTTGGTTGCGGAATTTGAACGAATAGTTGGTGCCCATCTTGAAACGAATGGAAGTTTAACACACTTTTAGCGTGGATGCATTTGGAAATCAGTTGGCGTGCAATCATCAATGGAATATATGTTGAAATGAGAAACTATAATTCATCTAAAAGAGCTCTTGATGTTTCAAGAAAAATAAAAATAACATCTTCATCAACGAATCATCATTGAAATCTGAATCCGGGGAAATGGGATGGGAAACAAAAGAAAAATGTAGGGTTTTCAATTAGTATATACGGGTAAAATTGAGATCAAAATCGAAAACACTTTATTTCCATTTGATTTTTACTTAAAAGTATATATTTTAGATATAGATGGGACAATAAATAAAACAAATAGTCATCATATTGCAATTCTTTTTATAAATTAGTTTGTATAATTTTTTATGTGGTTTTTTAATAATATTTGGATATTTCAAGAAACTTTATTTTTATAAATAAATTACTTAATTTTTTTTATAAAACTAATATTAAAGAATTGAACATGATGAAAACATAAAACTTAGAGTAAATTACATGAATGGTCCCTGTGGTTTGGAGTAATCTACACGTTTGGTCCCTAATTCTTTTTCTTAACTCGGACGGTCCCTAAAATGTAATTTTGTTGTGCATGTGGTCCCTACTAAATTAAAAATATAATTTTACCCTTATAATTTTATTTTCAGATTTATTTATTATTTAAATCTAATTTAATCAAAAAAATCAATCAGGTCCCACCCCCTATGGGTGTGCATGGGCCGAGTTGGGTCGGTTTTGGGCTAAAAACCGAACCCAACCTGTTAATTTCGGTTTTCAATCATTTAAACCCAAACCAATGGGTTTGGTTTTTCGGTTTTCAATGGGTCGGTTTTTGGTTTAAACCTAAACCCAACTATAACCTTACATGTTGATAGAGAGTCAGTGGCATTTCTTATAGTATAAGAGAAGAAATGTTTATATGTTTATGTATTTGGGCGATGTGGGATGCGAACTAACATTTAGAATAAAAATCAACATAAAAGACAAGAAGAGTGGATGGGATTCGAACTAGAGACTTGTTGTAGAATATACGCTTATATGTCCAAACACTTAACCACTGAATAAATGATTTGTACATTTTTCTAAATCACAGAAAGAATATACAGAAGTATAGCTGGAAAATTAAAGAAGTCATGAAAAGTAGCAAATAAGAATCAAACTAAAGACCTCTAGTATCATAACATGGCGTCTTAACCATCAGACTAAACTTCTATTTGTGTTTTTAACTCATGCAAATCGTATATATACATAGATAATTCAAAGAATACATATATTTCTTAATATTCGGTTCGGTTCGGTTTCTCTCGATGTTACCAAACCCAACCTGAAATTTTTGGTTTTGAAAAATCTAAATCCAAATCGTCGGTTTATGCTTCGGTTTCGATTTTTGTCGGTTTTGCTCACCCCTACCACCCCCAAACCCAACTCCCTTACTTCTCTATCTCTCTCATACGAATATGGTTTCTATTTTACTATTGATTGCTTCCCTCCTCCCTTTTCCGTTTTCACCATAGATCTGCATCTCTTATTCTCCATCTCCACTGCACACCTGCTTCATAAGTGATGGAACCCTAACCCCTTGCACCTTTGTTCCCTAAATATCACGACAGTGACTCACAAGTCACAACGACGACCCTGTCAATCCGACCACTACTTGCCCATCATCCCTATCGTCTCTCTCACTTGGATATAAAAGGTGAAACATTGTGGTTTTTGATGTTTTGTTTCACACAAAATCAATGTTTTATACCACAACTTGTCTCCGTCATCAAGCATTTGCCACTTGCCTCCATCTTCAAGTAACCTCTCCTTCTTTCCTCTGATACCGAAGAACAAAATTGATTCCTATCATACATTCACCTGCAAACAAAATCGATTTCCCATCTTTTTTGAATCAATTTCTTAAACTTTTACATATTTAGAAAACCATAACTGATTTACATTTGAGCGAGCACATGTAAGAGGTCGAGTTTACAGATGTAACGCCCGCTTCCTGGTACGTATTTAAATAAGAAATTATTCACATTTGCTAAGGGACTCGACGAGTTGGAGGCCCCAAACTCGTCGAGTAGGAATTGGATATGTTGGACGCGGGACTTGAAATCTACTCAACGAGTCGAGGAGCCTCGACTCGACGAGTAGGCCTGCTAGAGTGAAACCCTGATTTTCAGGGTTTGCACCCTATTTAAACACATTCACACCCCCATTGTGGCCTCCCCTCATCGCCTCCCTTAGTCCAGAAAACCCTAATTCAAAACCCTAGCCCATTTTGATTGTTCTTGAGCCATTTTTGTGTGTTTTTGGTGGTTTTGAAGCTTGAGAAGGAAAAAGAAGCTTGGGAGTTCAAGAGGGAGCAAGTAGATCCAGAGGTTGTGTTCCATTTCTAGCTCATTTGAGGTATAAAGTTTATACCTTGACCATTCATCTATTAGATTTCTTTTTGGGGTAGTTTAGGGCTTTAAGGAGCCATTTTTGGAACCATTCATGGATGCAAGCATGTTTTGGGGTTTTGATCTCAGATTCAGGGTCCTTGAGGGACTCCATGGCATAAAGCTGCCAACTTTATGGGCATGGGAGTCCCATGCATCCTATGAACCACTTTTTAGGGCTTTTTGAGCTAAATAGCCCATGCATGAACGTAAAGTTTGTAACTTTACGTGTTATATTGACCCTAGGAGGTCAGATCTATGTTTTGGATGCATTAAGCCTGACTGAAATCGAATGTATAAATTTGGGTCATGGGGGACTCGACGAGTTGTTCTTAGGACTCGGCGAGTCGGTTCGTGGTTCCCCCAACCTTCTCTGTTACTTAGCAAACTTGTTGAGTCTAGAAGATGACTCAGCCAGTTAGACGTGTTTTGGACTTAAGGTCAAGAACTCGACGAGTCCAAGGATGAACTCGGCGAGTCAATGAGCAAATGTCCCGATCTGTATGAAGGAGAAGTCGACGAGTCCAAGGAGGGACTCGATGAGTTCAAATGGAAAGTCCCGATTCTGTCATAAGGAGAAACTCGGCGAGTTAGAGGGTAACTCGACGAGTCAGATCGTGAACTCGATATTCTCTGAATTATGGAACTCGACGAGTTGATGGACCAACTCGACGAGTTGAGTCACCCAGGATGTTGACTTTGACCAGAGCATTGACTTTGACTTTGACTTGGCCATTATCCAAGATTGACCCTTAAAGGGGTTATGAATATGAAAGAGTAACTGAGGGAGACTGTTATGTGTAGGAGTTTGAGGAGGGTTGATGTGACAACCGTCAAAATTCGAGTCGGTTCTAGATTTGAATAAACTTAGTTGCACATATACGCACGACACATACTGGACTTAGTGACTAGAAGCTCAGTTATAACCTACTAGAAACTTGGAAGCAACTAGAAACAATGGATAATGTACTTAGATTTCACATTGATATGTGAATTCTACAACTACTTAACTGTAGAGGCTATCCATATTCGGGACACTCTTTGACTCGAACACCTTTTCATGAATCATATACACACATCATGCACTTGACCTAGAAGTAGAAATTAGGTCAAAGTCTCATAGAAACTTAAGTCAAAGTTGAAGACTAGGACTAGTATACTTGATTCCTCACTTTCGCTTGAATCTCGGAATCACTACATAGAATGCCAATAAACCGATAAAAAATAAATTACAAACATTATTTATAACTATAAAAGAGTTATAATACCATAAGATAATTTAAAGTCTCAAATATTCTATTTATTTTGATATCCAAATTTTTACAAACTCTCAAAAACCCTAAAAACCCTAAAACTTAAATTTTATAAAGTTTAACATCATGAATTCTATAAAATAGTTATGAAACTTATAATATTATCTTAAAACAATTAAATTCAGGAAATATAATCAAGGAAAATAAAAATTTAAGTCATTAACATTCATCCTTAATTTATAAGTCAAAAATCAAGGTTTCATGAATAAAAACTTGATTTTAGTGCACATTTATATAAAATTTAGATATTTTATAAAATAACTTAAATTTTATAAAACAAAATGAATGTGAAAGGGTTATTATACTCAAATTTTCGGACCCCTCTCTTCCCATATCTCTCTCTCACACTCTCATTCTCCAACACACACACATCTCTCTTCTTTCTCTCTCTAGAAAACTCTCTCTACCTTCTCTCTAATTTTTTTCTCCAAACACCACAGCCTCTTAACCACGAAATTATGGAGATTCATAAGGGTTTTTCAAGCCACAAATAAATTTAAGGTAAAGAACATACATCTCTTGAAGATCCACAACAATGATTTAAGCCATGCATGTGCATTTTACTTCAAAAACCGACTTCTACTTCTTCATCTTCTTCAAACTTGTTTTCTTTTTGTTAAAATGGTTTTTAGAACATCATGGATGTGTTTTAACACCATGCATGTATGATAAACAAGGTTGCATGTTCATGATCTTAGTGCAAAAATCGATTTTAAGGATTAAAACATCAAACTCAAGTTAAGAGTTTTTGAGAAACAAAATTTTGTTCATAAATGAATGTATACATTTTGATAAGTTTTAATCTTTTGATCTCTGGAAACATGACTAGAATATAAGTTTATCATGATATCTTTTAAAATATTTCAAAAGATTTACTCAAAGAAATGATGAAAACTCATTTTTCTAACCAATCACCATGCATGCAATCTGCCAGATTTCTTTACCTGACTTTAAACTGTCATATCTCACTCATTTCTTAACCAAAATTCGGGATTCTTTTTCTGAAATATAATATTTTGAGTTATCTTTCAAACCCATCTGACCTCACTGGAAAATTCAAATATTTCGATTTTTAGCAATTTTTACAAAACTGTTTCTCAATCAGCACCTTTTTGTGAATACTAGTTTTGTATTGCATGTTCAAAGAT